CCCACCTCATTCTTTGAGACACAGTGCCATGCTTACCATGGCTGGAGAGTGGGCCTCTGGGATCCTCCTGACTCCAGTCTGTGGTTACACCTATCACCATGCCCAGCCTACGCATGGGTGCTGGGGACCCAAATTCAGGTCCTCATGCCTGAGCCACAAACACTTTCCAGTCTGAACCTTATCTGCAGTCCCCACAGTAGCCATTTTCAGTGGCTGAAGTATTCTCCTGCATGACTATCCTAGCTGATTTACTCAGCCATTTTTCCACCACTTTGTATAACAAACAACACTGTCCTAAGTGCTCTGCTATACATATTTCAGAGTTTCCCATCCATCAATTTCCAAAAATAGAATAATAAGGTCGAAGGACAAAAATATCTTATGCTCTAGATTTATAGATTTATAAAGGAAGAAACCGTTTTCTTTTTTTAAAATTGTTTTTATTGAGCTATATATTTTTCTCCACTCCCCTCCTTTCATCTTCCCTCCCCTTCTGCCCTCTCCCAAGGTCCCCATGCTCCCAATTTACCCAGGAGATCTTGTCTTTTTCTACTTCCCATGTATGTAGATTACATCCATGTACGTCTCTCTTAGGGTCCTCATTGTTGTCTAGGTTCTCTGGGGTTGTGATTTGTAGGCTGGTTTTCTTTGCGTTATGTCTAAAAACCACGTATGAGTGAATACATATGATAATTATCTTTCTGAGTCTGAGTTACCTTACTCAATATGATGTTTTCTAGATCCATTCATTTGCCTGCAAATTTCAAGATGTCATTATTTTTTGCTGCTGTGTAAACATACCACATTTTCCTTATCCATTCTTCAGTCGAGGGACATTTAGGTTGTTTCCAAGTTTTGGCTATGACAAACAGTGCTGCTATGAATGTCCTTGTGGTATGATTTGAGCAACCTTTGAGTATATACCCAAAAGTGGTATTGCTGAGTCTTGAGGTAGGTTGGGAAACCGTTTTCTTAAAAAAAAAAAAAAAAATTGTTCTTTATATTGAAAAGAACACTGAAACCTCCCAACTTTTCTTTGTTTCACCAGCAGTCACGGACAGCATGGGGTTTTTTGTTGTTATTGTTTTCTAACTGGGGAAAATGGAGCAAACCATAAACAATGCCACCTTAGCTTCCTTTCCTGTGACTGCATTAGTGTTGACCCTGTGAATGTAGTTTGGCTGTGAGCCCTCAGTATAAGTCAGGGTCTGTACCAGAGACCGGGACCAAGAACACTCAGTATAAAAAGTGTTAATTGTGAGAACTGAACCGCAGAAGAGACAATAAGACTCTGCTACCACCCTCTGGGGCTGAGGAACAACAGAGAAGGGGGCAGCTGGCTGGTGCGCACGCGCTGTGAGCTCAGCAATGTATGAATTGCAGACGGGGTTCGTGGCCACTGTGGAAGGGAAGAATCAAGTCTGGGATTGTCTGGCGGCAAAAGCTAAACTCTGGGTCTTTTAAATCTCGTTATCAAATAAATGACACTTTTTAGACTATGCTAATGTTTCATAGGATAAGACCATACAAATTATTATTATTATTATTCAAATGTTATTAAATGTCCTACAGTTTACCTGTGTTTCTAAGACTGAGACAATGCTGGATATGGTGCTCCTTTCTCCTCCTGGAGCCGTTCTGTTGCTCTCTAGTGCCCCCTTTTGGCAGATCCCGGCACAGAGCCCTGTTGGTTTTTTGCTCTTCAGTGTAAGCTCAGGAACTATGTGTTAATTGGTAGAGTCCACTCTCTTGCCGACTCAGCGTCCTTGCGCCTATTTCCACACCTTTGGACTTGCAGATGGCAAAAGCAACTCTAACGAAAGCGAACTATCTCCGACAAGTGAAGACAGTCTCGCCTTCTGCCCAAAATGAGAAGAAACAAGTCTTGAAGTCATTGGTTATTTGCAAGAGTTACACTAACCATCGCTGGAAAGAATTCACTTGCTCTTCAAACACAGTCACGGTTAAAAACCTTGCCCCTTCAAGACTGAAGTATAGAATTAGCTTCCAAAAAGTTATTAAATGATCAAGGGAGAAAAAGAATTAGCCAATGTCTCCCATTGTCTATTGTGATATAACCAAGAAAGAAGTTTCCATGGCTGCTTGATAGTTTCTTTAGCCAGTCATAATGAAGGGGCTTTGGCCAACTCGAGCAGGGTAAACATGGCTCTGGCAGGCCTTGCCCGTCTCTGCCATTCCCTCTGCCTTGCTAAAAACCAAGATTACATTCCTAAAACTAGCTACCAAGATCTGTTCCCTTATTTGGCCACTTTCCCCCCAACCCCCCCGAGGCTGACTGCGAAGGTCCAGCTATCAAAGTATTGAAGTCCAGCAATCAGAAAGCTCCCCCTGGCTCACCTAATTAACATGCCCAGTTAAAATTAAACACCTCAGTTTGCCTTTACAAACCATCATTTTCCAGTGTGCCGCATCTGCCGCCTCTCTATCCAGAGGCCGTCATTTGTCCCTCCTGGACAAATCTCGCTGCCCCCTTTCTCTTTTTCCCTCCCCGCTCTCCCCTGTCCTCCTCTTCCTGCCTTTGTCTCTTATTCCCTGCCCTACATCTTCTTTGTGCTGAGAACTTGGTCTTGGAGGTTCTGAGCTGATATTTTCCTTCCGTATAATGTCACGTGGTGCTCAGAATTTCTTCCTCAGCCATTCCATGTTTTCTTGTCCTCAGACAGGATTTTGTCTGGCCAGGGTTCCTCACCCAGTAGAGTGGCCTATCGCTGCATTTCTGCAGGTCCTGGAGCACCAACAGTCCTGCCTGTCTTTAGATTTCACATCCTTTAACATTTACTAGCATGCATGGGACTATCGATACCCCCCGAGGATGCCCCAGCTCCAGCCATGTTCCTCCTGGTGGTTATCTTCCTCTTGGTTATCAGAATCAACCCCTACAGCCAGACAAATGAGTCCTCTTCGGTTCCTCGGTCAGTGCCGAGAAAAACACAGGTGGCGGTCCCAATCCCCAATCCAATAGCAGCCTGCTGTGATTCCTAATGGAAGGTCATCTCTAACCAGGCAGGGCACAAACTTGAAGTCACGGGAAGCATAAACTCTGCGGGTTATCTGGTGGGGTTGTGGGAGGCACATGTGTTCTGGTTGTGGAAGAAAGGATACAGTGCATCATTTGCGGAGTCGGATCCCAGGTTGCATGTTCTTGCCACGTGCAATCTTATGATGCGGTGGGTAAGATGGGAACCTCACGACACACAATCACTTGGCGTCTCATGGTCCCGTCATGCCTGACTTTTAAATGTCTTTATCCCTTCAATGAATAATTCTACGGGTGTCGCATCCTGCGTGACTTAGTCCGGGAAACCTGACAAGGATGACAACAGTCATGAAGAAACGAAAGACACGGAGGGAATAACAGACACACACATAGAGAAGCTAGGGTGGGGTTCACCATGCTCCCTCTGATGGAGGACACCAGGACGACGCAATAAATGGGACTCTGCCTGCCTGTCATGGCACAGGAGGAGGGGTTAGCTCATGTCTGTAGGAGAGAGGAGTCTCCAGCTGTAAACATCTGGGGTAGGAAGCCTCAGTAGGTGCCTTCGGTACCCTCCCAGTCACTCAATATTCCCACAGACTAAGAAAGGCTTTGGCCGTTCCCATGGGACTAAGGTATTGGGGTCCCTGGCATGGCTGTGCCCCTATCAACAATACACAGTCACTCAGAATTTTATCCACTCCCCATGCTTTCTTTTTTTCTTTTCTTTCTTTTTTTTTTTTTTTTTTGGCATCTATTAATTACCTTTATCCCGTGGCTTCGTCTGTTAATAAACATGTTTTTTTTCCTGCTAACACGGCAGCTGCACCTGAATCTACTGCTGTTTCAGCCAGTTATTGCAGCTCCCAGTTACTGGTCCGCTTCTCTGGTAGCAGCCTGATGGGTCTTGTATATCCACCTTCTGCAGCGGCCACCAAATGTAGTTTTAAACTAAATCTCTATTGTTCTATTTACCAATAAAGACTTGGGAGTCCGAAGTTGGGGTGAAGAACCGGCTAGCCCGAAGAGGTGGAGGAGCAACTAGCTGACCTTCCCTTTTTTTCCTGAGTGGCAGAAAGAGAGTCCTTCTGCACTGCCAAACCAAAACGACCATCACACTCAAAGTCCCTCCCTACTACTTCCTGTGCGTCTCTCTATCCATCTTCCAGCCAGACTCCTTTCTCTCTATGATTTCTTTCTGTGCACTAGTTGCTGGCTCTGCTTCCTGACCAAAGGTTGTTTTTTTGTTTTGTTTTGTTTTTTTTATTTAGTACAGATACAAACTTTCAGTTCACGGTGTGATTGAATATCCCGCCATATAATAGCAGTAACAGCACCTGGCTAGCTGGTTATCTCCCATGGACAAGTAGCAAGGCCGGGGACTATTTTTCAGACTGTTGTTAACAGTAGAAGGGAGGAGATGGCATCAGTTTGTCCTGAATCGTCCTACCTGCAGACATTGCTTTTTTTAATTTTTTAAACATTTTTCTTATTTTATTTCATGTGCTTTGGTGTTTAACCTGCATGGATGTCCTTGTGAAGGTATCAGGTCTCCTGGAACGGGAGTTACAGACAGTTGTGAGCTGCCGTGTGGGTGCTGGGAAGTGTCCTCTGAAAGAGCAGTCAGTGCTCTTAACCTCTGAGCCAGATATAATTTTAGTTTTTGTTGTTTTAGTTTGTTTTGGTTTTTTTTTGGGGGGGTGGTTGTTCGGCGGGGGGGGTTGTTTGGTTGGTTTGGTTTAGCTTTTGTTTTTAACACAGGGTTTTTCTGTGTAGCCCTGGCTGTCCTGGAACTTGCTCTAATCCAGGCTGAACTCAAACTCAGAAATCTGCCTGCCTCTGCCTCCTGAGTGCTGGGATAAAGGTGCACGCCACCACCACCTGGCAGAGATATGATTTCTTTAAGAGTTAAGAAAAGCTGCTTTTCTCGAACTCTGCCAAGTCTTTACTTGTGGGTTTGAGGGCTCGGGGCCACAAGCTGATTCGGTCCACTCTGTTGCAGGCACAGCCTCTGTAGCCGTGGCAGGGATCCTGGCCGCTCTGAGAATCACCAAGAACAGGCTCTCCAATCATGTGTTTGTTTTCCAAGGTGCTGGGGAGGTAAGTACCGCCAGGAGAACTCTCCAGCGGCTATCCTGAGAAGAGGAACAGGTGTGGGAGTGTTTCTGCAGAGAGATGGTCTGGGGTTCCAGCCAGAGGAAGCCACATGAGTGTGTTCTGATCGTTGCAGCGTTTTGAGTCTCAATATTTGAGTTTCTCAAAGGAAAGATTCAACTGGGCTTCCTAGGATTTGTGGGGCTAAGGAAAAGAAGGGCTCATTTGGGTGAAACATCTGGTGTATGCTGAATAACTATGTGCTTTGAGCTTAAATCTCATCCTTATGGTACTTCCTAGGCAGCCATGGGCATCGCCCACCTCCTGGTTATGGCCCTGGAAAAGGAAGGTGTGCCCAAGGCAGAAGCCATAAGGAAGATCTGGATGGTGGACTCCAGGGGCCTGATTGTCAAGGTATTTATTGTTCAAGTCTGAAAACCTAGAGGTTTTGCTGGGTCCTGGTGGTGCACACCTTGAATCCCAGCACTCAGGAGGCAGAGGCAGGCGGATCTCTGTGAGTTTGAGGCCAGCCTGGTCTACAAGAGCTAGTTCCAGGACAGGCTCCAAAGCCACAGAGAAACCCTGTCTCGAAAGAAAGAAAAAAACTAGAGATTCCTGGCACATAGAGCTGCCAAGAACTAAACCTAAAGAGGCCTCTAGCCAGGCACTGTGGTGCACGCTTTTAATCCTAGCACTGGGGAAGCAGAAATAGGTGGATCTGTGAGTTTGAGTCATTCTGGTCTACCAAGTATCAGGACAGTAAGAGCTACACAGAGAAACCCTGTCTCAGAAAAAGAAGAAGAGGAGGAGGAAGGGAGGGAGGGAAAGAGGGAGAGAGAGGGTAAGGAGGAAGGGAGGGAGGGAGGAAGGAAGGAGGAAGGAAGGAAGGAAGGAAGGAAGGAAGGAAGGAAGGAAGGAAGGAAGG